CAGTGGTAGTGGTGTGGGGGGCACTTCATTATGTAAAAGAGCAAGTATTACAGTGAAGCTCTGATATTCACGGGGGTTACGTACTTGTGAATTGTGAAAAATATTGGATACGGTCCATAAATGACCTACAGCGCATTTGTGTGACATCGTAATTCGGTACGAACCGAAACAAAAACACACAAGCTAAACATGCCACATGCTAGAGAGAGAGAGAGGGAGAGAGAGAGAGAGAGAGAGAGAGAGAGAGAGAGAGAGAGAGAGAGAGAAATCCCTCTGCATTCAGCCACGGTATCCCATCATGGCAGCTTCAAGCGGTGGACCTGAGAAGAATGTAATGGCTTTTGATCGCCAACAAGTGCCTTTCCCACAGTACGAGTGACATGGCCCCCCCAGTCCTGAGGGACCAACACGCTCACTCACTTCTTGTCTTGAGTGCCAGCCGATGCAGCCGAGGTCAGACGTGCATCACGAGGCGGGTATGACAAGCTGATACACTGGATGACTTGTGGATTAGGGCCTCCATCTGACACACGCTGAAGCTTTGAATACCAGTTGTTGTTTTTTTTTCAAAATAAAAAATAAATAAATAAAACAAATTGAAGGTCACGCAGGGAGCCTGAACGAATGCAAGCTGATTGAGCATCTGCAGCTTGTTGTCAGATTTGTAAAGAAGCGCAAAAGACATGGGTGAATATTTTCCGCAGCTAGGCAACAAACTGCTTAAAAGGATGCAGATGCACAGCACAGGCAGGGAACAGGTCCCCCCCCCCTACCCACCCCCCCAGTAGGTGGGTGACGGTGGCTGCAGGCGTACCTTGGCTCTGTTGGTTGGAGCACCAATCTGCAGCTCGTGCGGCAGGTCCTTCGGGTCGTCCTCCTTCAGGTACCACCACTGTATTTCCAAAGACATGGGTGCTGAGCTCACAGCCTTGAAGGCGCAGGGCATCTCCACGTCCTCTCCTTCCCCCACACTCACATCTTTAGGGACTTCGGTGAACGCAGCTTTGGTTCGGCCGCGTGGAGAGGAAATACAGCGACAGACAGACAAAACAGGGGCAAATGAATTAGTTGGAAGTGAGGAAATGAAGCTCTTTACTTTGCAGAAACTTGGGAATGCACTCTGTTATGGTTGTCTATTTAAATATCATCTTCACACACTAATATCACATTTTGTATCATCTAATCCAAAGAAATTCTCTCTTAACCTCATGCAGTGTAATCTCAAAAAAACACCTTTTTTTTTTTTGTAATTTAACCCTTTTCCCTCTGACTTTAAGGGACAATCTTTGGAGTAAAATGTGCAGCCTTAGATTAGATTCAGCAATTAGCAGGGGATGTTTAATCCATCTCATGGGTGATGCAAGGCTGTTTGCACTGCTGCTCTTTCAAGAAAAGCCCCAGTCTGAACCAGTTCACTTACCATTTGCACATCTCACGAAGGGCGAATTGAGAATGAAGTAATAGAGGAGGCTATAATAGAGTCCTGTTTTTCCCATGTCACAGTAAGGGTCGTCACACTCAGCGCAGACATGAAAAGGTCATGTTTTGCTTTTGTTGAACCCGTTTTGCTTAAATAACTCCAAAAGTGAGCGGAGATGGAGGAGGAAGAGGGGGAAAAGAGAGGAGACGAATCAGGCGCAGCAGCAACATGTAGATAGTCCCCGACGGTCCGGAGCTCGAGCCCACATCATATCAGCCTGGATACAAAAAAAAAAAAAAAAAAAAAAAAAAGAGAGAGAACTCCAAACAGTCCTGCCAGGAGGTGAATTTATTCTTCTTTTTTGTTGTTGTTTGTTTTGATTTTAATCCCTCACGAGCCTCGTCTGAAACAGCAAAGCGAACTTCGTGGTCAGCGGAAAGGACCCGCTCTCCATCATCACCCAGTTTTCCCAGCGAAAGCTCTCCCGGGCTCCGCTCCAACAACAACACCCATCACATAAACCGGTTCTGTGCGCGCGCGCGTGAGCGTGTCAGTGAGTATATATATGTGTGTGTAAAAGAGAGAAAAAAAATGCTGGGACTGCAGCAGTCAGAAAGGAAATCGAGGAGGATAACTTATCCCTGTTGATAATCTCAGTGTCGCTCCGCTGCTGCTGCTGCTGCTGCTGCTGCTGCCGAACGTCGCGAGCGCATCCCCGAGATGCGCTGGTGCCCAGGCAGACCCCCTCCCACTCACCACCCACCTCCGCGTCCCCCAGTAGGTCTCCACTGCGCACTGTCTTCAGCTCGCTGACCTCTAAATTAAAAATAAATAAATAAAAGCTCAATCCTTCCTCATCTCGTTGCGGATTAAGTGGATAATCTGGAATATTTTGGACTCCCACAATTCGTTTCAGTGTTAAAATGCTGCAACAACGGGATGTTTTGTGAATTCCCATATGAATGAATGAGACATATATGTTTGTGTTTAATCAATTTGGCACTGGTTTATTT